TTTTATTTAAGTAGTTTTTACTAAATTAAAGTACTTGAAAAGTTGCTATAATTTTAATTTTAGAGTCACACATTAATTCTACTTTGCACTAAATTAGTTTGAAGTATTAATTAAAATAGTTTTAATTAGTTGCATTAGTTTTGTATTCATTATTATATTTGTTGCGAATTAATATTTGTTACATTTTTAAGATGGAAGGTGGTAGATATTTGGTTGATTTGGGTAACCTCCAACGCAATCGAAGGAACGAGATTGGGAGGAAGAAATCCCACAAAGGTAAAGAACTTGCCGGCTCTTCATCTCAAAGCCGAGATGATTTTGAAACGGGTTACCAAAGGCAAGATGGAGATGCGATGTCCGAAGAACAACTACAACAAGAATTGGCCCGACATAATAACCGCTTTCTACAACAACAACCAATCCCGACGACCATTGACGAAGAGGAGCTTGAGGATGAAGATGCGGAGGAAATGGAACCGGAGACGGCCGAGGAGGAGGGTGCCGGCAGTCACGATGCCGACGAGCCTGCCTCATCCCAAACCGCCACCGGTAATAAAAAAAGTAAATCTTGAACTAATGCAAAATAATTTTGATAAATGGAAGGACCCACAAACCGGCTATTGGCACACAACTTGCAAGTGGTGCAACAACAATTATAGTTTGGGGACCTCCGGCGGATACGGATCCGCCGCAAGGCATCTTAAGGCAAAGCACCCCGTGGAGTATGCAAAATTAGGCGGCGGAACGGGGATGCAAACTCAAATATCGAGATTTGTGAATTCTCAACCTTTTGGTAATTTCTCTAACAATGATGCACAAAATTTGACTGGTATGGCTAACTTAATTTGTGAAGAAAATTTGCCTTATATGTTTTCTGAAAGTCTTGCTTTAAGAGATTATGCACAAGGTAGTTTAAATCCTCAATTTAGAAATTATAGTCGCAAAACTGTTAAGAAAGAAATTAGGATTTAGGATTTATGGTGTTGGAAAAGAGGACTTTGAAGAGAATAAAACAAGAAATTTGACTGCCCAGGAGCAAAACCCGACCGGGTAGAAATCCCCACCCGGTCGGGTAAGATTTAACAACCGAAGAAGCAAGGAAATTGCCAGACCCGGTCGGGTCCCCTACTTGACCCGGTCGGGTCAGATGTGACCCGGAACACCAGAACATGCTGAAGATCGCCAGAACGTGGGAAATATTTGATTTTGACATTTACCCGGTCGGGTGGGCACTTGACCCGGTCGGGTAAATGCCCCAGGGTGTTGAAAACACCTATAAATAGCCCCATTTTCCTTCACTTTTCACAACTCTTTCCATACTCTTAAGCTCAGTTTAGAATAGTATTTCTTTTATATTTTTATAGCATGTTTAGTCTCCAAATGAGGAGCTAAACTTCCATTTCTTGGTGTTGCTCTTGAAGCTTGTTGATTATTAAAGTTGTGAGTTATTTTTTTATCTTCTTCCCTTGAATATTAATTATTCTCTTAATCTATTTATATATTAATGTTGGGGAGTGTTGCTAAGATGACAATTAGTTAACATCTCGACATTAATTATGGTAGTATTTATTTTCTTCCTCTATATATTAATGTCGGGGAGTGTTGCTAAGATGACAATTAGATAACATCTTGACATTAGTTATAGTAGGATTATTCATATTTAATCTTCTTCCTTGAATATTAATTCTTCCCTTAATCTATCTCTATGTTAATGTTGGGGAGTGTTGCTAAGATGACAATTAGTTAACATCTCAACATTAATTACTACTAGAAACGATCAACGAACCGATGGTTAATCGTTGATGGTTTCACAAGTAAGTAACTTCGGTTTATTAATGCACGGTCGTGGTTAATAAACTTAAGAAGGACTAATTTTGTTGGTTAAACTGAAACCATTATGTTGAGGTTATCAATCTCAATTGATTTATCAAGGAGTTGAGAGATTAAATGCTACTATCAAGTCGGTATATGGCGGTGTTCTATACTTGACTAATAGTAAGGGTTATTAATGAACGGTCGTTGTTAATAACTACCCTCGATGAATTGGATATACTCATCGATTGAGTATTAGAGAGGGAATAAGTTATACATATAACAATGATCAATTAAAATATATCAACAAGTGGAAAGTAGCAATGCCAAGTCCTTTTTATCTTTGAATTAAATCTCATATAAGTCCTTCATCTTAGTATTTAATTAATTAAATTCCAACAATACCAAAACCCCCCTTTTATTTACTAGTTCATAAAAAGAGAATTATTCCTTTCCCTGTGGATACGAACTCTACTTCACTATACTACGTATTAGTGCTAGTGTTGAATTTTTTTTGACGCACCGTGACAAAGTGCCCGTCAATATTCCTATATACTTGTCTAGGAAAGGCTTTGAACTAGTGAGATGAAACCTTTGAAGTATGGGCATATTGGCTCGATCGATGTTTCCTTTTATGGAATAAATAGTAGGAGTGTCCTGATAAATTTAGGATTATATGCTTCAGGGACGAAGCACTAATTTAAGGAGGGTAGATTGTGACACTCCTTAAATTTAATAAATAAACTTTAATACTCCGTACTAACTAAGATGTTAATTTTAAGTGTAGATATTTTTCAAAGCTTATGTTTCGGGACGAAACATCTTTTAAGGAGGGTAGAATGTGATACCCCGAAAATTAAAAATAAATAAATAAATTATATCAGTCAGATAAAATGTTACGAAAGTGACATTTTAATAATTAAGTGAATCAGATAAAATTTTAACATCATTGACATTGTTAATAAGATAAAAAAAATGTTTCAATAATAAAAATGACATTTTTATCATAATTATGTTGAGCATATAGGACATAGTCCTTGATTCGAATAGAAAAAGTGACATTTTTATAACAATAATTGAGATACAATTCGTCCATATAATAATTGATGAGATATAATTCAAATCCATTATGTATCAACTCACCCATATACTTACAAAGACATGATATATCAACTCAGTAATATAGGTACATAGATGTATAAATCTGCCGGCCATATTGATATTTGCATAGTACAATAATGAGATATCAAACCAATGGCTACCATATGGATCCACATGCGCATGTCAAAGTTGAGTTGATCGGATGACGCCAAATATTCATAGCTAGCATTCAACTTGAACTTCCCTACAAGGGTATACACACAGGACTATATACGCCAATGTATATACATAGTATATATATACCCATTCACCTGCGCATATCATTCATATCACACGTATATGTGCATATAATGATTCTACATCAAGGAGAAAGTTTAAAAACCATAAACTTGGTCTCTAGGATTAGGAGGGAGTTCGGATGTAGTCGTTAGAAGGTAAAGAATGGCGTCTGAGGGCTGTGGCTTCGCCACCGGAATGGGTAGAACTACCCGCGGCTGACGGGTCGTTGTAGGACGGACTCCGCTAGACGATGGAGAAGATTACAACGACGTCAGAGAAAAGGGAGGATTCACCGTAGAAGAAACCAGTTGTTCGCCGGACTGTCGGACCGCTTCCTCGCCGGAGGAGATGAAACCACTGACTTCAGGACCGTCGTTGCCTGTTGACGAAGCCACTGCAAGAGTTGCCGGTGGAAGAAGCTATTGTACTGTCGCCGTTATCTGTGGCAGTGTTAGGCCCAACATCATGAGCTTCCACCATAGGTTCTTGAGAAATAGGAGTCAGAGGAGGTTGAGAACCAGATGCACGTATGGTATCAATACATTGACCTTCCATTCTGATAATTATAGACAGTTCAAATACCTCAATGCAGTCAACACATTGAACAATGAACACATAAATGACATGATCGCATATTGACAATCACAAATACTTTAACACATGCACAGTAAAGTCTGGAACATTCAACAATGTGATCTACAGAAGGATATAAGCAGTAGACTTATTCTCTTCTCTACAGACTTTGAAGATACCAGTTCACTCTAACTACTCGTTTGAGTATTTGAGTACAAAAAGGTAACTTCAACACTTGTGAGCCAGAATATATGAAATATGAATCATCAATTCATCATGTTCAAAATATTAACAAGCATCACAGATGCATCACATTTTAGAAATCCTCACACCATAGTGAAATAGGTATTAAAAAAAAGTCAAACCGAGGTATAAGGCTTCACATTAACAGGCTGACAGACATCACCATCTCACATATGCATCACAAATTACAAATCCATAGTCAAGTAGGCAAACAAAGGTATCATTGAGGCGATGAGGCTAACATTTTACAAATCCATTGCAAATAGGCTTCCACCATTCATGAATGAGTGAGTCACAATTACACAAGTAATACATATCAAAAGACAATAACAGTATAACACGACATATCTAGGGTTCGAGCTTCCAGACTTCTACCATAGTATAATACCAGTTATACCACCATAATAGTTTATGAAATCAAACTTTTATACCTCACAACAGACTCATAGTGTCATATAGTCGCAGGCTTCCACCGTTCCACTGTTCTAAGCTTCCACCGTTGTTAAGCTTCCACCGGTCCAAACTGGAGGAACAACAAGCCAGAGAGCAGAGAGCCAGAGAGGAGAGGCAGAGAGTCAGAGACAAGCCAGACAATGAACTATTAGAGCCGGACTCCCGGAGGGTGAATGACAAAGTCACAAAGATCGGATTGACGAGAGATTAGAGAGAAGGGATTTGCGATGAATGCATTGAAGAGAGAAGGGGTCTGCGATGAAGAGGATTAGAGTTAGGGACTTAGGGTTACCTGTAAATAATTAGTATATATACTACTTGGAGTTTCGGGTTTTTCGGGCGGATCGGGTAGCGAATTTTAAACCCTACCCACGACCCTCGACCTTGAAACCTTAGATAACTTAAGACCTTAAGTTACTTTTCTTTTATCACAAATGTAGTTTAGACAATCATAAATTCTTTTAATTAAGAGGGCATCCAATAATTTGAGTTTGCCTATGACGGAAATTAAAATAAAGAAACCATTTGTCATAGTTTTGAGACACGATACTTAAGGACCACCCGGAAAGGTTAAACTCTGTTGAACCAGAATACAACAACGCGAAAGCGGTTTATCAATTATAAATTGACATAAGAAGCTGATCCCAATTGAACCATAGTACAGAAGGTGGAAACCACAAACTCTTCAGCTAAAATCAGTCATCCAAGATGTTTTCTTCTTTCTCCACTAACCATACATATACAGATATACTATATACGTTCCCTGTCATGCATATATACAAATGGTTGTAAACCAATCTGGCAATTCAGAAATTCCGGTCAACAAGGCTCTTTACTTCATGCCACAGCATCCGCCTGTCGTTGAGCTAATCGCGCATACAAGCCACCACTGTGAAGAAGCTCCCTGTGGTTGCCCATCTACAAGCATTACGGGTTCTAATTGAGTATCATGGTGCTTATCTCAATAATAAGAGTTTTAACTAATAATCATGGCGCTTACTTCCATAATACTTCCACTATCCATGACCACTATCCTGTCTGCAGCTTGAATTGTAGAAAGTCTGCAGGAAGAGGTTCATAAATAGTAGACTAATAACGTTCAGAAGTTGGTATACTGGGAATATAGTGATAATAGAGCAGGCAGTCACCTGTGCGCAATTACTACTACAGTTCTCATTGTCTTCAAGTCTCTTCTGACTGCACGAAGGACGCCCTAAATTCAATGTAATAGTATGAGTCAGGATTTGGCGCTACAATAATATCCTGCTAATTTTTTTAAGGTTGTCAACCTAAAAAAAATTGGATGAAGGTAAGTAGATTGAGATTAAAAATAAATACACACAGGTGCCAAGGGTCAACCTAATAATACTAATAGCCTGATACCTTGTGTGTGGTATGTGCCAATTTTAACCTTAAAAAGTAAAGCTTTTTTGTTCAGCAGAGCGAGTATATAGTTTATGGACTAAATCCGGGACATATACTCCAACAAAAAGTACCTTAATGTTGTGTTCACTCTCCGCATCAAGAGCACTGGTTGCTTCATCAAGGATTAAAACATCTGGATCTCGAAGAAGAGCCCTAGCGATTGCAATTCTTTGTTTTTGTCCTCCACTTAGCAACTCATCATCAACAAGAGTTTGGTAACCATTGGGCAAAGCCAAAATGAAATCATGAGCAGAGGCCTGCTTGGCTGCCCATTCCACATCTTCCTGGCTAATATTCAGTGTGCATCCATATCTTATGTTTGAGCTGATATCTGTGTGGAAAAGCCGAGGTTCCTGTTGATAAAATCCTCAGTGAAAACACTACTTACAAAATCTGTTTATTTTTATGTTACGTCAGGTTTTGGGTGGGAACCTGCCCGACATAGCCAATCCTCTCTCTCAACCATTTAATGTCCAGATCTTTAACAGGGTATCCATCGATCCGTACCTATTCACAATTCATGAGGTAAAAAATATCAGGAAAAATTGTACTACCTCCGTCCCTTTTTATTTAGCCAACTTTGACTTTTCAAGTCAAAGGTGATAAAGTTTGATCCATTATTTTAACTAATATATTTATGTGAAACTTAATAAATTAATACTTTTAGGGAAAACTGTCAAATAGGTCCTCGAACTTTCATAAAAAGTCAATTAAGTCCTTATTTCGGAGGCTCTGTTCGGCCTTCGCGATTTGGGGCGGATCCCGGTGAAATTGTTTGATGAAATTTTTTGAGCATCTTATTCATCAAGTCTAGTTTACTCATACCAAATTTCAGCTATAACTTCAATCGGGAACACATTCAAATTAATTCTTGAAGTTAACTGTGCAGTTAAATGAGCAGTTATCTTCAAGAATTAATTTGAATGCGTTGTCGATTGAAGTTTTAGCTGAAATTTAGAATGAGTAAACTAGACTTGATGAATAAGATGCTCAAAAAAATTCATCAAAAAATTCCACCGGGAACCGCCCCAAATCGCGACGGCCAGACAGAACCTCCAAAATAAGGACTTAATTGACTTTTTTATGAAAGTTCGAGGACCTATTTGACAGTTTTCCCATACTTTTATGATAGTATTTTTAACAAAGAACATTTTCATATAATTTTCACATTATCAATATTACCGTGTATAAATATATAATCGGTCAAAGTTGAACAACTTTGACTTGAAAAACAGTGTTTGGCTAAATAAAAAGGGACGGAGTATTTTGCTAGATACGTGAAGATATGGCCATATGTGTGAAAAAGGCTCCAAATTTATCAAAATAAGCAAAGCTTTCATGCAATGTGCCAAGAGTCAGAGACAAGTGACATATGGTAAATTTCGAATAAACCAACAAAGAAATCATAAAAATACAAGTACAATTGAAATGCTTCATGACAGTTATACATCAGCAAAATTTTAAAATGGTACATTGGTCAAACTTCAATCTTTATCCGGAATGGAGGCAGTAATGAAGTTTACCTGGCCACTTGTTGGCTCATAAAGGCGGAGGAGGAGGCTCACCAAAGTGCTTTTTCCACTACCACTAAGACCAACCTGTCAAAAATTAAAGTTAGCTAATAAAAAATGTGGATTTTTTTTCAATTAAGGTAAGATTATATTCCACTTTTGTTTAACGGCTGTCAGATCATCTTCACTTTTAATCAATGACTTTTATTTTTTTCAATTTTGGTGCCGGAGTGCCGGACTACAGATTTCTTGTCACTTTTGGTCCTTCCAATTACTTATCCAACCAATTTTGTACTTTATATGGTTGACTTGTCACCGAATAAGTGATTGGAAAGATTGGAAGTGGCAAGAAATTCATAGGTGTGCACGACAATTACAAAAAATGAAAGTTCGGTATCAAAAGTGAAAATGAAAAAATAGTTGTGGGACGAAAATTAGAACTTTTTCTATATATATAAAATTCATGAGTATGTCCTCGATAGGATGAATGATAGAAACACTTACAATTGCTAAAACTTCACCTGGATTCACTGTGAAGTTAACCTTTCGAAGTACTGGTATCTGTTCAGTAGTAAAAAAAATAAGCTTGTAGATTCACGCAATTTGCGGGTAGGATCGTATTTGAATATATGTGTAGGTATGCTAATGATTGGAAGAAACTTACCGTTATCCTGGTAGGATAGTGAAAGGTAACATTCTCAAATTGTATGTGCCCTGATAATTTCCCTAACTTTGATCCTGTAGCATTCTCGCATCCATTAAGTAAATTGAAGAATAAAGAGATGAACTTTACTATGTACTCATTATCTCTGTTAAGAGCCCAACATCGGACAACTAAAAAGAAAATTATGGGTTACTAAGACCTTTTGTTGAGCTAGCTAACAGAATTGATTTCATCTTTTTAATGTGGTCTAACTCAAGTGTCTTATTGCACAACTGAGTGATCCTAACCTACTTGAATTTCTGAAATCTCATCTATTATCACAAGAGTTGACTAAAATGGTATGCCATTAATGATGCAAAGGGTGACATTAGGGGCATGTTTGGATCATGAAAAATTCTACGTAATGATAAGGAACTGCAAAGGAAAGTTATTTTCTTAGTCATTACATCGAGTCGTGAAAATGTAGCCACAACTGCGATGTAGATACTAGATGCTTGTTTTTGGAGCAAGTTGCAATTTTTATATATTCGCCATAAAAGGGAAAAATATTTTACTAACAAATTTATATATATATATATATATATATAGGGAACGGTTCCAGTGAGAAAGGAGTCTCGGGAGAGAAATAAGAATGAATTATGGCCATTGATATTATTCATCCGATGGACACTAAAAATTACATCAAGACATCTAATTTCGGTTATATTAATGTTTGTAAAAGGAAGGTCCTCATATCATTAATTAGGAGGGGTATTGATGTCAAATAAAGTGAAACACCGTTGCCCATGTGTTGTCATATTTAAAAATGTTCCTAAAAAGTAGGGAAAGTATTTATTATCTCCTCAAATATTTACAGAAATCTCTTACTTGTTTATATATTCATATCATTAAAGCCTAAACAACTCTTCTTTTTTAATTTGCATCATACGATTCATGTTTAATCTAAAATCCTTTCTTGATTTATAAATTCACTTTTATCACGATGCACTTTAATGTTGATATAATGCACATTAATTTAAAATTTCATGTATGTATCTTGAATTTCATTATCCAACCGTGTTTTATACTCTAAAATAAATTAAACCTCACAATTTGTGTCATTATTCACTTTAATTTTATGCATCAATGCACTAGTGCAATGATAAGTATTTACTTTATGCTACTCCATTAAAATATAATTTATTAAAAAATGTGCACTATATGCATTATAAAGTGCAATTATTAAAATGCATGTTATTGTCGTAGCATAATGCAACATTTAGATACTAATTATGCATTATAAATTGCAATGATTAAAATGCATATTATCGTCATAGGAGAATGCAACATTTAGATACTAATTATGCATCAAAGTGCAATTTATGTGCATTAGAGTTAATTAAGTCTTTTCACCTATGAGGCCGAAGTGCAATGTGTATGGGCATATACGTGCATCAAGTAACATTATTAATGCAAACTTTTATAAATAACACTTTTTATCTCATTAACTTGCACACTTTATCTCTTTAAAATGCATTTTCTATGTAAATGTTTATTTAGGAGTTAATCGTGCACATTTGTGCATAACTATAATAAAAATATGAATAAAGCATTCAACAAATACAGAAGTTTGAAAATGGTAAAACTAAAAATTATAAGATGAACCTTACATGTAAGAAAATGTGCAATGAAAGATTGTTAACGGTGCATAATATTAAATAAAAAAACGAATGCACTTATAGCACTTTATATTACAATAAATATTACTGAGACACTTAATTAAAATAGTGATATAACTAAAAAATAAATTGCAGACATGATATGATTAGAAAATAATAACACTCAAAGTTTGATTTAATTAGAAAATCAAACGGGTTATAAATCAGAAAGATTCAATAGTTTCAATAATGGTACTTCCTAAAATAAAAAAGGAAAGCAACGTTAATAGTTTATACTTTAATGCTATTGAAAGTAAAATTCCAAAGCAATCCTTACGTGAAGTGGACTTAGAGACTAGATCTAATGGCTTGAAATGCTTCTCATTTCTCTCCTAAGATGATTTTCTCACTTGAACCTAAATCTATATATATATATATATATATATATATATATATATATTTGTTATTGTGCATAAGATCGACAGTTTGGATGACTAAGATTAATTCTCATTTTACACGTTAAGATTTTTTTTATTTGATACGAATTCTATATATTGGGATGTGTTCAAATGAGAAGACATCTTAACGTGTAAAATGAGAATTAATCTCAGCCGTCCAAAGTGTCAATCTTATGCACAATAACCCCTCTGTGATGCACTTTCGAATAAACCTTATTTGATGCACTTTTCGAAAAGTGCATCAAATAAGGTTTATTCGAAAGTGCATCACAGAGGGGTTATTGTGCATAAGATTGACACTTTGGACGGCTGAGATTAATTCTCATTTTACACGTTAAGATTTTTTTTTATTTGATACGAATTCTATATACGAAGCATATATTAAATGAAAACAAAGAACAAAGAACGAACAACATTTCAGATGTCGGAAAGTAAAACCTTTAGCAATGAATTGACTGCTGGGTTCAAGATTCATCAAATGAAAAACCTTTTCACTTGCTCCAACAGACTGCATTAGTGATGACACGCTGTCCCCCGCCCACCATGCAGAATAGATAAGCCATTCGCTATATAGGATGAACTTTGTAAGTTTCTCTGCTGTTATATGACCAGCTAGAATGAACATTCCTCCTATCACGACAGCAATAACCTAATAAATGTTTTGACAAACAAAAATTATATTTTGCTTGCATGAACAAATAATCGTTAAGTTTTAAGTTTTAACTATATCAAAGGATCAGAAAATAAGGGCAACATGCTCGGTTCATGCCTAAAACAATCAACTGTATTACACCTCTAGTGCTAAGTTCCATTTGGTAAGGGTCATTCAGCTTATATAGGTGAATTTGCTATATTTCCAGGAAGGAAAGCTGTTTATCAAAACCCACTTCAGCCAACTAAGTCAAAAGCTACATGATTCTGCTTATTGGCTGGTAAGCATAATAAGACAAACATACCAAACAGGCTCTTAGGTTCTCAAAGCAAAAACCTCTTACGAGATCCTTACCTGCATTGAGTGATAGAGAGTATTGAAGCCAGAACTCCAAAATCCATATGCAGCACTCTGTCGCAAGCTTATATCAGCTAAACTACCCAACCACTGAGAGTATCTGCTTATGAACAAACTTATATACAATTGTTAGTATTTGTTTTACAAAACTTTGGGTTGAACTACCTAGTCGATTAAATTCAATCTTTTAATATGGTTTGGACCAAATGCCTTATGGTCCAGTTAAGTGACCCCAACCCAATTCTGAATCCAATCATACTTGATAACTTGGTACATAATCAATAAATGGGTACAGTTTCCAAATTTTTGCATTCTTTCCCTTTTAAACATCAGGGTTGTCTGCATTTAGAAACCCCAGTAGTGAGTAATCCAGAGGTTTACCTTTCGAGTTCTAGTTTCTCTGTTCCATACGCACGAATAGTCCTCATTAGAGAAAGAGTCTCTTGAGCAACCTAATGTAACATGAAAAAGAACCTCAGTCCTCCAGGAACAAGAAGATGAGAACACGAGCATCCCAAAATTACCTCATTGGAAGAAGCGGTGTACTCTTGAATCAACTTAGCTGCATTCTTTTGGTACCTATAGAATGAATAAGTCATACAGAAGGGTCATGGCTCATGATTGACATTAACTTTTTAACATTGACGAGTACAAATGCCATAAATCTTGAGTCCTACTTAGATTTTTCATATTTATTTGTTGGTTTAACTAAAACTATAAAAGTTAATGCATGTTATTACTATTTTAGCATCTTTAAAGATTTTTCTTTGCATGAATCTAAAGATTCTAAAGTGTTGGATCTCTCAAGTATAACAGCATAGGAAAGCTTACCGGCCATATAATAGCATTAAGATTAATATGGTAGAACAGATTGCCAATGTGCATAAGCCAAGTGGCCATGACAAAACCAATAAGTAAATCAGAGCACCTGTTCCCTGAAATTTTGAGAAAATGATGAGATTTCATATTCTAAAACTTCCGCAGTCTGTTTGGATCTCGTAAAATGCTGGGTGGAAAACGGGGAGCAAAAAATATTGAAGGAAACTGGAATGAAAGAACATGTGAAAGGAAAAACGTCGGGGAGACATAAAAAGCTGGTACAGACTCAATATCTTAACTTTATGCATTTGTACAAACTCATTTTAGTTGAATAAAGACTGATAATGAAAAATGTTTGAAATTTCAATTTTTAACCATAAAATTTGATGTTGCTTCTTATTTTTCATGGTAAACTGAAGCATATGAGTAAGAAAAAATGCTTCCTATAGCATTTTTCCTTACGTGCCATTTTAGGAGTTCCGATCACAGTCCTTTCCAAACTCGTAAAGACTTTTGAAACTAGTAAGCAACATAACCTGAAGAAGATTACGTAGTATCAAATTGAGGTCATTTCCAATCACACGAGACACTTGTTGACAATCTGCTCCGAGCCTACTTGTCAGATCGCCAACTGTTTCTGAGTCAAAAAAGGAGATATCCTACAAAGGAGTTGGCTTGGAATAAACATCTAATCCTTCATAGTGCTTCATACTAACAAGGAAAATGGAGGGAAACTGTTTCTAATAAATGACATATTGACAAGTTTTCGGTGAGAAGAAAACCTGGAGAAGAAGACTGGAGTATAGTTTTTCTCTCATTCTTGTGACCTGCAAAATAAAATGAACTATTAGCTGCACATGTTTAGCATTTCGACAAACTGAAATTATTCGTACAAAGAAAAGAATAGCCCAAAACTGACCAAACTATATATGGTTTAAGGTTTATGCTTTAGAGAAAGAACAGAACCAACACAGATCGACTGAAAATAGCTGAACCGAATCTGATTTAAGTTGCTAGGTTTGGATTACGATTTTGCATTTTCAAATACGAAACCGATCTGATAGCACAGAACACCCCTAGTTAGGCATAAAAAGTTCTTAAAGACAAAAACTTCTTAAAGCTACTTCAAACTTTCAAAGTGATCTGATAGCTCATTAAAACACGAAGAGCCATCGTGTTAGGGTTTTAACGAAAAATGTCAACAACATAACCTCAATCTGACCACTTCTTGAGTTCTTGACAGAACCTAACTCATTAGGCGCCTAAGCCATTAAGAATTAATTAATTAAGAAACATAGAATATTAACTTCTGTTTTCAGTTACTGAATTCATTTTAATTTATTAAGTCAAGGAAAAAATACTCACCAGGACCATATTTGCCATGCCAAAGAAGCAACCTCGCAGACCACTGTTAAAAAAACCAAAACATTGGAAACAAAAAGGAAGAGATGAGAGAAAGCCCGTCAAAATGCAGTTAATGCACATAAAAGTATTAGAAGCAATGGTAACACAGTGAGAGTATCAGAGTAATGAACAATTCGAAACTATACAAAGACATACCAAGATAAGTTTTGACATTACATCACCATGCTAGATACCTAATTTAACGTCAATATAAAAGAAGGGATCTTTAACCATACAAAATCAAATCTTGACCTGCAAACTCCTGCAACAATGCTTAGCACAGCTAAGATGCGTACATTCCTGTGGAACACTGGAATACTGCTACTTTGCACTGAAAAGATTGATGCCGTCAGAAAATGTGGAATTGAAATCTCAGATAACTGATCACAGCAAAGCAAGAAAAAATGACAGAAATCAATTGTTGAAGGAATAATTCTCAGTGCAATCATTTCTTCAATATTGGTACTAACATAAATTTTGAGAATCCCATATCGGACAAATAAAGGAAACATGATGAGTTCCAGGATCTTGAGTTTAACTAATAAATAGATAGGATTCAATTTTTAGTGTGGTTGGCCAAGAATCTTTTTCCCGCCAAGTACCTCATTATTTAATTAGGTGTCGAATCCAATTATTAATTATATACATGCTATGATATTTGAGTAGTTATAGTCTACTTCCAACAGGGCAGGGCCAGTGGCCTGTTCATCATTCCTGCAGTACGGTTCGAGACCAACTCCCATAATGGCCAGATCCTACTAGGCGAAAATTATTTTGAGACTTGTGGATCTTAACACTCTTTTAGTGTAACTACTTCAGTTTCTGTTGGAGTCAAATTACAAGTAAACATATGATTAGATTCAAAATGGTTCTACCACGGCTAGTGTGTTAGAATCTCACATAGGAGATATAAAGAGAAAATAATGAGTTTATAAGATGTATTAAGGGATATTTTAACTTTGCACCCCGCTTTTTGGGTGATATTGGATTTTGCACCCCATTTTCAAAATTCTTAGACTTTGCACCCTATTTGCCTTGAAATATCTTTGCCTTTGCACCTCATTCAGGATTTTTTCTTCACAAATGTTGTAGATAGGGTGCAAAGTCTAAAAGTTTTGAAAATGGAGCGCAAAGTCCAATATCACCAAAAAAGTAGGGTGCAAACTCAAAATTCCCCTTGTATTAACTAGTTAATGGATTGAATTTAATATTTTAATACTATTTGACCCAAATGTATTAGGAATTTGGGATCAGTTGGGTGTCATCAATCTAATCCTAAACTTTATCATAAACTTACAAACCCAATGTCTTTCCTTGCATATCCAAGTGCAGAAAGCATAAAAATGATGCAGGGTTAAATCAAGAACATACAGCAGTGACAACAAGTGCTGCAAAAGCCGAAAATATGAGCCACCTATCTTCAGCTATCAAATCCCACATCCTCTGAAGCGCCCGCATAACAGTCACAGGCTCCGCCACCATTTCAACTTCCACCTCCTCGGGAGAGAGCCTCCACCATCTTCCGCCCGGCAAAATATCGCGAGCGAATTGAACCCCTTTCCAGAATTTCTCGCCCAGCCCTGCATCGCTTTCCTCAAAAGACCGCTCTTTTCCATAGTTCTGAGACGAAAATCCATTAACTGAAGCAGATGTTGCCGTATAAACATACCCATAACTCTTCTTGGAAGGAAACTTCGAAAACAATAAGTGGGTATCCGATTTGGGAAAAAGATGCAATCTTTTGTCACGGTTTCTAATTAAGCTTCTTCTGTGTTGTACATACAACGCGAAATGAGGTTGAAGTCTACACATAGGCAAAGACATGGCCGTTGAGCAGCAATGGTCCACAAGAACTGTAAGCTAAGAAAATATCGTGATGATAGGGGGAGATGCGCTGTCTCACGGAGGCACCACTCGTTCCGCTTCCAAAAAACACAAGATGTTTTAAGTGAACTGAAAAGACCGGCAGCCTGCTAGCACGTGAACATACATTGTTATACCCGTATCTCTCTTCACGTGAACTGAAAAGACCGGCAGCCTGCTAGCACGTCAAGTCGTCGACCCATTTTTTAGACCTATTAAGCCAACCTGTCACTTTTTCTACAAAAGTACTTCAGTTGACTATCTGTTCATCGCAGCTTGATACGCTGAATATTTCTCCATTGTATTTCATGACCCGTTCAACCCATTATATTGCCCCGTATTTGACATGTGTTTTGGGCGGGAAAAATGACCATGTTTCCACTTCTTTTTCTATATAGATAGATTATTTTGCTCCTTAAATAATGTGTCAAAATCTATTATAACAATCTTTAAAATTTAAAATAGGGAGGGAGTAGGTCCAACCATAGGGTTGTCAACTTATAAAATGCCGCTTCTATGAGTAATTTGGAGTACTAAGATGTACTTCTACATTTTCATCCAAACACTTCAATAATCACCTGTACTTCTTTTTTTTTTTTTTTTTTTTCACCTGTACTTCTTTAAAAGTAGTACTCCTTCCGTCCCGTTAAGATTGTCACATTTTACCTTTTCGGTCCATCCCACTAAGATGATCACATATCAAATTTGGTAAAGTTTGTGTGACTCTAAGGATGTTTTTACTTGGACTGTAATTTGCCCCAGACCAGACCAGACCAGACCGGACTTGGATTGTTATAAAAATACAAAGAAACCAGACCTTACCAGACCAGACCAGAACAGATCAGATCAGACCAGACCAGACCAGCAAATTACAGTCCAAGTAAAAACATCCTAAATCATTCTCACTTTAACAGTTCAATATACACCACATAAACCACTTTTTATTGATTTGCGTGTCACTCCCTCATGTTCCATTGTTAGTGGTACGGAGTAGGGATGTAAACGAGCCGAGCCCGAGCATGGGTATGTTTGAGCTTGAGCTTGATAAGAATTTACGAGCTCGAGCTCGATCTTGAGCTTGGACAAGTTAAATAATTCGAGCTCAATCTCGAGCCGAGCTCGGCTCGAACTCCATTCGAGTTTGGTTCCAACTCAAGTCAAGTTTCGCTAATTAATTTTTATAGGTTTGAACTCGAATAAGATGCTCAAACTCGAGTTAAAAACATTATATGCGTACTTATTCATTCTCATTTTAGTTTAATCTCTCATTTACTAACATTTTTATTCTTTATTTTACTGTCAATAAATATTAAGATACATATTATAAATATTAAAGATTATGGTTATAATACTACTACTACGCATATGTTATTAATTTTGTAATTATTACTTTTATAATATACATTGTGTGATAAGTATTGACAATGGAATAGTCCTAAATTAGAATACATATTTCATGTTTAAAAAAAAGTATATATATAATTTTACATATATATTTATTATATACTCCGTATAAAATATGACACAAAGACTCACGAGCCTAAAATAAATAGGTTTGAATTGAGCTTGTTAACTATTCGAGTCGAACCGAACTCGAGTCGAGCTTAATATGACCGAACTCGAGTCGAGCTTTTTCCGGACGATTCACGAGCAGCTCGCGAGCGGCTTGTCTCATTTACACCCCTAGTACGAAGGGAGCAACAATTTTTTTGATCATGGCCCATGGGAGTAACAATTTAAAAAAACCAAATCTCATCACCCTCAGATTTTACGAGTAAAATAATGTATTTGGACATATTCCATTTTAATAAAACTGTCAAATAGGTTTTCGAACTTTCATAAAAAGGTCAAATAAGTCCTTACATAAGAGACTCTATCCGGCCGTCGCGATTTGGGGTAGTTCCCAGTGGAATTTTTTTGATGAAATTTTTTGAGCATCTTATCCATCAAGTGTAGTTTATCTTCAAGAATTAATTTGAATGCGTTCCCGATTGAAATTTTAGCTAAAATTTGGTATGAATAAACTAGACTTGATGAATAAGATGTTAAAAAATTTTCAGCAAAAAATTTCACCGGAAACCACTCCAAATTGCGACGGCCGGACAAAGCTGAATACTTATTTGACCGAAAATTCCAAACCTACAATTTTCCCCTTTTCTGATTTTCACCAATTGATCCGATCATCAACCGTGTTCCACGGAACTTCACTCGTCCCGCCACCTTCCAAACATATCCCAGTCAAGACCCCCGCTGACACTGTTAAAAGTCAATGTTATCTCTGAAGGGCAAAAAGATGTTGCCTCTTGAATGCTGTGCGAAGAGGACACAGTACAGTTCCATGCATAGTTCGTAATTAGAATCAATAATCATGGCGAAAACATTATAAATATCTTCACATCTCACAAAATAATCCACACATTCCAACACTTCATTATATTTGTAAGAATCTCTATTATCCATTCTTCATTGAAACATAAATGAAGAACCGTTACACTGAGGGGTCAACATTGCCAAGGTAGGCATGCATCGTTTTGTTGTTCATGTTTCATCATCAGTACCGACAGCACAGGTTCGGATGAAAAGTTGTTAGAAGCAATCTCAGAGAAAACAAATTGATGGAAGGTGTGGCCGTGCGGTGAAAGGAAAAAGCGTAATGGCGAGGGGAAGGGAACTGGGGTAAAGCAAGATGGTGGACTCGGTTTTCTGGATAGCAAAGCTGTTACTCCGTATGATTTTTTCGAGATGCAATGTACGTTTGGGCCATATAAATAATTAAAAGCATAAAGAGTGTTTGCATTTTATTATTACTTTTGATGTGATTTATTTAAAAACATATTCTTCGCACTAAATTTATACTGAGTAAATAGTTTACAAGAGTAATACCCCTACTCTGGAGTCTGGAATATGTCACTATTTCCAAGATAATAGGTACTGTGTCTGCACTCCACACACATGCGCGACATAATATCCAAATTTTAGGGTAACATATTTTGTCAATAGCTAATAACTTCATTTTTTTAATGTCCACTATTCGTATTGATAATGCATAGGGAATTTCTAACTTCATCTGTCTTTGTTTCATTTCAACAAAATAACACAAAGGAGAAATACACTTTAATCATCATTATATTCAGTCTATTGAATATCATCATACTAATAGTTTCGGTACAAAACTTCATAAATATGCGCATAACTCTATACGTACACATACGAAATATCTATTCATATTATACGAGTAATTAAAGTTAAGAGAATGTTTAGTAATACTAGAACCAGCTGAAAGATCTGTTGAAACTTACAAAAATCTGATTGAAGTAGTTGATTCTGTTGATTTATGTCAAAATTAAAAGTTTGGTGTTTGTTTAAAAAGGCTAATAACACTATAAGCTAAAATGACACATATAGGCTGTTTGGTAATAACGAAAGCGACTGACTCTGCTGAAATTTATGAAGTTCTGGTTGGAGTGATTATGTTGATCGATTTTGTTGATTTACTAAAAAACATTAAAGTGAGTTTTAAGTATAAAATAAAGAAAAAATTATACTTCATCCAATACAAAGAGAAAAGTAGCTTCAATCTTATTCTTATTATTACACAATTCAACGAGCGAAATCAAAAATCACGTGTTCGGTGAAAAAATCGATCCATAAGTTTTTTGATCATAAATCGATCCATAAGTTGAAAAACAAAGTCATTTAACAGGGTCATAATTAATCTCGATAAAAAGTCGGTACTTATTAGTCACAATCTACTAGACTTTCCATTGTCACAAGTTGCAAATAATAAAACTTTGAAATGATAAAGATCAGTCGCCTATACTAGACATGTTTACGGGGAAGTATTTCAAAATTTATAGGTTTTCCACATATTGTAAATTTAGAAATTTCTCTACTACACGTCACGTTATGTACATTTTGCTTTAAATAAATCCATGTTACGATCTTTTTTGTATAAGTATCATTTTTTATATAGTTTTTATATATCTATGCATTTATATTTGCTATTTGACGATTTTCATATACTATTACTGTAAATATATAGTAAAATTAATTTTTTTTATATATTTTTATTCCGTGCATCGCACGGGTGAAAATCTAGTACATATAATAACAAAATCTTGGCAATCCACTTTGGGCGGGAAAGATTGTACCAAAAAAATGAAAGTGGGGTGGGGATGTGGGTGGGGTGAGATAAATGATTAAGTTTTTGGAAACCGAGGTGATTAATGAATGGGCAGGAAATGTTTGGCCCTTGACTTATCCCATATTAATGCTACGTATTATTTAATTTGATTTAATAATATAATAAAGTATTAGTCTTTTTTTGGCATAATAATAATAATATACGTAGTACGAAGTAGTAGTTAGTGAAGAGTTCTTATTGGTACCGACAACATAAATAGATAATTTGGTTAATTGTGCCATATACTATCGGTACACAACTTGGTTAATTGTGCCATATACTAAAACGAAATATTTGATTAATTTTAATGTATTGTTTAAGCTAATACTCTGAACACATACATGAAGCTTAATAAATATTGTATATACTTTGAAGATATTCCGTCTATTCCAATTTAATTGTTCCGTTGCGGTTTGCGATGATTAACCAAAGATAAAGCAAATAAATCTCTATCAGCATTCGAATTATTTCTAACAATAAAAAATTGGAACAAGAGATTAATAGTGATTTGTATTGACCAAATAAATAGATAAATAGAAAATTTGAAGATCAAATTGAGATGGAGGTCAAGTTTAATAAATAGGAACAAATACGTAATGTTTTTAAGTGATTTGCTTTTTCAAATAAAAATGATTTTTTATTTTCTTCTTTTGGAACTGGATTTTTTTCTCTTGATAACCGAAAAGGCTTTCTCAAACCACCAAAACTTGAAAAGGTGTCCTGGCAACACAATTATTTCAATAGTGACATGATAAACGACTAACTGTTTTAGAGGCTAACTAGATAGCCTCATTTATTTATTTAAATTAGTACATGAGAATGGAAGAGTCGAGATTGTTATGGTGAACTAAAAAGGCAGCCTTGATATTGGCAAACTTCATTAATGAAAACATGGTGATCCATATCATACCAGTATAAATAACACATGCACATGCAAACGGTCAGACATAATTCCCTTGCATCGATCAAGTGCAGTGTTGAAGTTTCTTACGATTTTGATTGTTCTTTCGCAGAGGTAACTCTATCTTACTACGTAGATTTTTATTTTTCAGCTTTTGAAAAAATTGTTAAATTATTTGAAAGAATAAATTTTATGTGTTAAATTTCATACTAATTGCACTTACTAAAATTATTTTAATTTGAATGAAAGTGGAGATTGATTTTAGTTTTATCAGTTCAAACCATATACAGATAATAATATACAAAGTAATGTATATAGAATATGATTTCTTACGTGTATTAGTTGATGCAATATTATCATAAACAAATAATGCATCACTTTTATTTTTGCCGAAAAACATTAACATGGGTGGTGGTCCAGTGGATTTGGAGAAGATTTTGGTGCTAACAGAAAAAAATAGTGCAGAAAAATTGATCCATTATTCTTATCAGACAACGAATGTAATTGATCCATTATTCTTATCAGAAAAAATTGATCCATTATTACTAAAGTTTTGTAGATAAATTCATACATATGTAATATATCATGCTATGGCCTATGGGTAACAATTAACTGTGATATGTTACAGATGTCGCCCACTTATGGGCTTGTGAAGGATATTACACCAAAGGACACCCATTGGGCATTGAGGTTGCGATTAGTTCGGATGTATGAAAATGTGAGTGATGAGGGAGCCGTCAGGGGTCTTGAATGTGTCTTCCATGATAGAGAGGTAACCAAAGACATACAAATATGTTTAAATTATTACAAAAATACATATCTAATATGTGTTATATGTTTAAATTATTACAAAAATACATATCTAATATGTGTTATATTTATTGGATGCTGTTGTTTATAAATACTTAATAATTATTAAAAATACTTTAGCTATAGAGAATCCACGCCACCATCAAAAGCTTTCACACGCCACAATTTAAGGACGTCCTTAAAGAAGGTTTGTTGTATAAGATTCGGCATTTCATGGTGGCTACCGATGGAAAAGACTACAAGACCACTACCAACAAATATAAGATCATCTTTTTTAAGAAAACAAAAGTTTTTGAGTTTGAAGATGCAACGTTTCCTAATGAGGTTTATAAGTTCAGACAATTCGAGACAATATTGTCCACAAAGATCTTGAATGAGAAGGAAATGTTTGGTAAGCAACTCCTTTAGTTTATATGAAGATGGCGAATAAAATTAAAATTTTGTTTTACATTAATCATATGTCTTATGCAGATGTGATATGCGTGGTTGTTGGCAAGTATGGTCTAAAGGAACTCACATACAACAACCGTCCTCATAAGATTATGGAGATTTTTGTTTGTGATAATATGTACGTCAAATGTATACGTAGTATTAGATTAAAGAAACTTATTTGTTTGTTGATTATCCATTTGGTTATGCTAATAAATTTTTCCGTTTTTTAAATCAAAGGATGAGACAACTACGATGCTCTTTATGGGATCAGTATGCCGACCAAATTTTACCATATATTACCATATCTAGTCTCTGTGGATTTTAGAACTGTTGAAATATAGTCAGGTATGGTTTGATCTAGTATGGTTTGATTGGAACTAGTCTGGTTTGGACTGAGATTGAAATAAATCCAAGTAAAAATATTCTAACAGCCCTAGCCACAACTATCTTCCCATACTTGATTATAATTGCTTTGATTTGATTCAACTCTTTTTCACTATTTTCTAATGCTCCGACAAGAGTCGCCATTACGACTTAACACATGTTGAATCTCTAATAAAAACTCTTTATCACCTAACTAGCAATTATTATCCTCGCCCATAACATTGAGACAATAAGGGATGGTGTGACCGTGTGACTGTGCGGTTATTAAAAAGGTGGAATCATGTTGTTAGTATTAAGGATGCTTTTACTTGAACTAGCTTCAATCCAAGATCAGATCAGACTAAATTGGATCAGACCAGGTTAGAGTACTTACACAGATCAGATAAAACAAGACTTAAATAGGCTTGATCCCTCCTCAATTGGAGAGCTTCTAGAAAATTCTAGAGCTTTTTAGAGACGTATAAAATTTCTAGAACCACCCAGAGAACTTTGGAGAAGTATAGAACTCTCAAAAATATTGTGGAATGGTGTGGAATCATCTAAAATATTCTGAAGATGTGTGAAAGCTTATGGGAAAGTATGGAAGGGAGTGAAAGAATATAGAGACTCATGGAGTGTGTGGAGCATTATATTCTAGAGAATCAACCTACGCCCTTGGATACAAGTCATCCCCACCAATCATTGTGAAGGTGGGGTAGTATAAATAAGAGTAAGGCTTCATTCCTAACAATCCAAGCCAAGAGTGAAGCCACTTCCTAGAGTGAGAAAAATATAGTGAGAGAGCCTCTTTGAGAGACGAGAGCTTGGGAAGTCTCTACGTTCAAGCTTGAGTGAGCCACCATAGAGTGAGTCAATTTTATAAACATATCCTTGTAAATTATACTATTGTCTTATATAGCGGAAAATCTCCGAATTGGAGAAACTCGTGTGTTTCCATTGCTGCCTTATTTTTTAAGTGACTGGCTTAACTTTAGGAAACGGGAAAATTCAAGTTTTTCCCCAACATTGGTATCAAATAAATTTGCATCTGAGGTCATCACTAGCTCGTGCAATTCAAGATGGAAGATAGCATCGATATCACTCATGATGGAGACATGTTTAAGCTCACCGCCAACAATTACTCATATTGGAAGCCGATGATGGAGGATCGACTATATTGCAATGATTTGCACGAGCGCATCATCTACAAAGAGAAGGTTGAAGGCAAGAGTGATGCTCAATGGGAGCTATTGAATCAGAACGTTGTTGCAATGATTTGTAAGTGCATCGACAAAACTCTCTTCGAGCATGTTTCTACTTACTCGAATGTTGAATTATGGACCAAGCTTAAGACCATGATGCAAAAGAAAACATCATGTAATAAGGCAAATTTAGTTCTACGATTACGTTGTTGAAGTTGGAGTGTAAGGATGGTCATAATATGATTGAGCACTTGAACAATTTCAAGGGGCTCGTAAACCAATTAGGCAAAATTGAGATGAACATTGATGATAAGTTGCAAGCCTTTCTACTCCTTAGTTCCTTGCTGGAAAGTTGGGACACGCTCATGGCTACACTTAGTAACTCGGCTGTAGAAGGAAAGCTCACCTTGGATACCGTAAGTGACAGCCTTCTGGGTGAAGAAGCAAGGTGAAGTGAGTGAGGCGAGTCTATCCATCCCGGTGCTAATGTTATTGAGATCCGGGTAGGAATGAGACTCTTAGACGAAGTAAGAGCCGAGATCCGTATCAATCTTAAGGTAGGTCCAAGTCACGCTCGAAGATCACATGATGATACTGTGGAAGAATGAGCCACATGACAATAGAGTCTTGATCCTTCAAGAGAGACCAGAAGGGCGGTAACGTCAAACAAGACCAAGTCATCCCAATGAAGAAGCAAGAAGAGAATAGTGCCACTGACGTAGTCTCAAAAGAAGATCTGTTATATGTCTATATCTCATTGGAGAAGGTAATATCGTAAACATTGCTTATGATGACAGCTCTTGGATTATCGATTATGGTGCTTCCTTCCATGTTACTCCCCATGTAAGTTTCCTCACATCCTACCAAAGCAGTGACTTTGGTGTGGTTCAAATGGGGAACCAAGATAGATGAAAGATCGTTGGGATAGGAGTAGAGCTGGGCAAACATGTTGAAACTTTGGTATACCGCATTTACCATATCAAAAAATACCGGATTTACCGAAAATTCGGGTATACTGACATTTTCGGTATGGTATCAGTATATGTTATAAAAATCAAAGGTATAACGGTATATCGTTATACCAAAAGTCTTATTCAAATATTTTTTTAAAATTATAAAAATGACTAAATACACAACATCATATTAGGGATAAATGATTTTATATCAATGTTGTTCGAATAATTTTTGTTAGAAATAACTATTAATTTAATTATATCAATATTGTTTAAACTATTTTAGGATAATGTGTTAATTTTTTAATATGTGGCATGTTGAACTGCTTAAATATACTAATAATAATATTTGTTCAATATTCAATATGACATGAATAGTTTATTATTTGTATTTTGTAACATTTTAATAATGGATGAAATACTTCCTCCGTTCTTAAATAATTGCAGCACTTTCCTTTTTCGACAGTTTCAAAATAATTGCAACCTTTCTCTTTTAGTAAACAAGTAATACATAAAATGACTTTAATGCCCTTAATAATTCTATGGGCATGATCTCTCATCTTTTGCTCAACATTAAGACTCATTTCCTAAATTATTTCCATCCACTAACCAGGCCTCCCCACGTGTCTTCTCCCATCATTATCCAAGCCATCTTCTCCTCATATCCTCACCATCTTCTTTCTTTGTCGTGTTTTTCTCCAATTTAGCTTTAAACTTGGGCGAAATGGAAATCTAGTCGGGAGATTTTTTTTCTCCGGCTACAATTTTGTGACAGTAATGCTTTTTTCTCCCTCTACAATTTCTTCTCTTCCATCGGTGAAACTCCACAACAGCCATAATCCCTTCTCAACTTTTCAATTTCGCCACATCCTGTAAGGCTGCAACCACAGCTCCCCTTTCTTTATTTCTATCCTCCCAACACAGAAAACCCACCAAATGGTGATGATTACAAAAATTGATATGCTATTATGCTGTGAACCATCTCATGATCAAATGAAAGAAAATGGATTTGCTATTGTACTCCACTCGAGTTGCTTTTGCAGGAAACAAATTTAAGATTTTAATTGAAAATTAAGAAGAAAAGAAAGATCGAAATGGTTGCCGGCTACCTCGAACCCTTATTTTGCTGGATCCCAATTCCGTTTTAGTGGTAGGAATAGTACATGGAGCAGATACAGACAACAATGACTGACAAAGGGTAAAAGTGGAATATACAAAACTCATCCCTCAATTCTTAATTCCTGTGCCCAGCAGTATGTTGCAATTATATCTGAACGGAGGATAGTGTGTTGCTAGTAACACCTATTTTGTATATTTTGTTAATCTTTGAAAATTTATTTTATTTAGAGACACAGTAACACAACGTGTCCTCCTATCTTCGTGTGTTTTTCATTCATGTGGGGGATTGTTGAAAAAAGTGTTAATAAATTGCATTAATGGTCATTTTGGGGCAATTTTTGAGTGGGGTCCACTTCCGATTTGGGTCAGGTCAAAGTGGTTTCAGATTTTCCTTGTTAAGGGCTACAATTCGATATGTGGTACACTCAAAACGGATAACGGGTGAATGAGAAATTGATTCTCAAAGTTCACTCGTTGAAATGGAGAAAATAGGGAAATGATGGTTTTCTAGTGTGTTAATTTCCGGGGGTTTTACCTCAATATTACTAATAAGTAGGTGATGGATTATATGGACTCCGACCCCCCGATATGCCGACTACTAGGCCTGGACAGCGGCCCACACACATTTAGCAGATATCATTAATATTATTGTACATTATTATTATTATTCAGATGTTCTAGATTAGCTTTTTATACTATCAGTCCATTTATGTAACCGGGTCTGTCAGGCCCATATTAGAGGCCCAGACCCGGATTTTCCCTATATATACTCCTTATAGGAGGCTTGTAACTCATATAAGCAATACTAATTCTATACACATTTCCTTCTTCTTCATCATTTCTTTCACTCTTGTTCAATTTCTCCTGTTTATACAATATGGGTATCAATTATCCAACAGTAGGTGAATGACAAAAAAGTGACCTTTTATTCAAATTTCCAAAAATGTGACTGGAGTACAATTTACAGTAACGACGCTACAGTGACAATGCTACAGTGATGATTTTACAATGACAATGCTACAGTGACGATTTTACACTGACAACACCATAGTGACTCCATTCCACGGTGTTTACCACCCGCTCACCGACCACAATGACACTGCCACCAGTGACACCGCCACAATGACACGTCTACTCCGGCCATAGTGACACGCCGACACCGGCAATAGTGACACGCCCTGTCCACAACCTTCCCGCGCCCTAGCGCCGCCGCTAACCACCACCGAGACACCCTCGGCCACCGCCCCACCACTGGTTTGAATCCCCAGCCCTCATTCACCTTCCCCTCTCCTTAGCCCCCAAGCCCCTCCCTGGCCCCTGTCTCATCTTCATCGGGCCCCCATCCCATTCCCCCGACCCCAGCTCCGCCATCCCAATTCCCGACCCCCAGCTCCCCCATCCTTTCCACCGCTGGAACTTGATGCCACCGGCCACCACCGGTCCTACCTAGCTCTCTTATTTTTTTACAGATCCATCGCCGTCATTGGATCTGCGCTGGATCGAACTCCTCAAAAAGACCATTTTTGTCCAGTGCCCCCACGGGCCACGGAGGAGATTGATTCTGTCGATCGACGAGATCTTCCTGCAGAAACATCAGATCCTCGAATGACGGCGAGCTCCATGGAAGCCGACGACGAGATTAGGCGTACAAT